CTGTAAGATGAACATTTGTGAGGCAGCGTGGTGGAATCAGGCTCTCGTCAATAAATTTTTGGGCATGTAGAGTTATTTATATCATCTTAAAGCTTGTTCACTTGTCTTTATTTGGAGGAAAAATATATCCATTTATCTTGAATACAAGTCGAGATATTTGCGAATGAAGGAGACCGGGTTACCTGTTTTCAGAGGTAAAATTTGTGACAAAATGGCCTCCAAAGATTAGTTATTTCCTTAGCTTAAGAGTCCGCGGTAATATAAAATTAACATTTTTTGTTCCTTTAAATAACGTTTTTCAGAAAAATCCACCTAGAAATTAGTTCCTTAATGGGCACGAAAGGTAGAGACAAAAAACAAAAATTTGACAAAATTCACAAACTTGCGGAAAAATGCAAGTTTCTTAACTTTGATTATTTTGGCGAGAGCCTGATTCCACCACGCTGCCTCACATTTTGTTACCATAATTCTCAGAAACGAAGATAAAGATAGGAAAGTAACAAACATGTATTAAAAACAAGTAGGATTATAAGGTGAAAGTAACAAACATATCCATTAAAAACGAGCAGGATCACTACTAGGTTTGTAACGGCCAGGCTATTCGCCGTTGCGCGTAGAAGACTCCTGAGTGGGGGAGTTTAAAAAAATTGAATCACCTGTCTTTTTTCTTAAATCACATGTCCGTCTGCTGGCATGCTGTAGCTCAGTCAGCCTGGTTTAGTCCTGAAATATACGATCTGACTTCTAAATGACCCAAATTGTGTCAATGGAGACGACAAATTTTTACAATAACAATTACGATTATGGATAGCATGAGGACCGAGTCACATGTGATGTTATCCGTCAACGCTGAGAGTTCATCAGCCTCTTCTCTCTCACACACAAGCACGGAATTTCTCAAGCGTGCAAGAGACCGTCAGATAAGCCTTTCCTATCACAGGTCGCCCGGTGCCAGCCAAAACCTCACACCATTCACTGCCCACACATTATTCTTGGCCACTGCGCCCTCGAACAATTCTGAGCCAAACATGAGCAAATTTGGAACAATGCTCTCTTTCATAGGGTGAGGGAATTCTGCAACACCGACAAGGGAATCTGTTCCGCAGGGCGGTGAGGGTGGCTGGGGGTTCAGGAACAGATATCCGTGTTCTTGACTGATTCAAAGAAGAAAAACCAACAACACCACCCAGGATTTGTTGTTTAGATGGCTATCGAGCCCCGAGATTCTCCACAGCCTAGGACAAACATTACACCGTGAGCTCCCAGGAAGTTGATACAAGCACCGGGTCTCCACCGACAAACACGGAACATGCAGGAATATCTCCCAACACCTCACCCAGACAGTGCAGGGGGGG